CTTATGGTCGGTCTTTTCTCCTTTTCCAAATGAGAGTGTTGTGTGGATGTGTGTGTGTGTGTGTGTGTGTGTGCAAGAATGGTGTAGACTACGCGAGGGGGAGGGGGAGGGAAAGAGAGAAAGTGCCACTTGCGCACGAGAGAGAGATTCCGATTGATTGCTTGATGGCCCTTTGTCAAGAGCACTAGACGTGCACCTCTGCTGGCTGAATTCGACAAGAGAAAGGGGGGCGGGGCGCTGGTTGGCGTGTGCGTGTGTGTATGTGTGTGTGGTGTGAGTGGGCGTGGAGGGCGGCCGGCATTCAATTTTCAGCCTCACCTTGCCAGCCGCCCCGCCATGCCTGTCTGCCTTCCTGCAGTCGACCCCACACGCACACACACACAGTCTGCCCGCCCGCCTCTGCGCGCATGACTGCATATCGTATTGATTGAGTATTCATGACGTGATCGACATGCCTGCCTGCCTGCCTGCCTGCCCGTCTGTGCATCGTTCAAGTGCTTGTCTGCCTGCCTGCCTGCCTGGGTCCATCCACTCACTCCCGTCAATGACGTGCCTGACATGATGTGCCGTGCCGTGCCGTGCAATGAACTGCTTCCTTGGTTGGTTGCTTGCCTGCTTCCTTCCTGTGCCTCTACGGAGTGCTGCAATTTTGACTGACAACTCGTGACTGACTCGTCAGCTACTCTCACTCACTCACTCACTCACTGACTCCCTCCCTCCCTCGTTGTCTCGCGACCTAGCAGGCAGAGAGGTGAGGGTGGATCATCGGATAAGGCGATGTCTGTCGGCTTGGAAGCATCCCATCCAGGCATTCATTGTGCGTCCAGCCAGCTTCTCACTCAAACATCAATCATTTGATCACTCACTCACTCGATACTTCCTTCCTTCCTTGCTGTCTTGCCTTCATCTAAGTGAATCAGTCGGTCAGTGGTTTGTGTGGGTCACCGGTGGAGTGAGTGTGTCGTGCTGCCTCTGCGTGATGTCTGCGTCACGCGAGTGAGCCGAGCCCTTTTTTGACGCGGTGCGCGGCTGCTGCGGCTGCTGGCCGAATGCCCGTTGGCCAGCTGACCAGCGCCGGGCACACAACCAGGCGGGCGGGCGGGATGGATGGATGGATGCATGGATGCATGGATGGATCGGGCAAGGCAAGGCATGGCATGAATGACTCATTTGGTATCAGATGGCGAGCGGGCCATTTTTCGGCTTTTCCAGGGAAAGAGGGCACGTTCCCATCCCACAAACGACCGAACAGCAATGAGCGAGGGAGAGATGGAGGGAAGGAAGGAGCAGTCGCATTCTTATACTTACTGTGCACGTCTGTCTGTCTGTCTGTCTGGCTGTCTGTCTGTCTGTCTGGCTGGTTGTATCTTCTTCCCCTGTTTCGTCTGCCGCCAGAGTGCCCCCCAGCTCGTCCGCCCTGTTTTCCTGAGCAGCTAGCTTGGCTTGCTGCTCTCACAATGCTTGGCGTCTGTCTGTCGGCTGCCTGCATGTGTGGCGACTGCGTCGGGGGGCACTCTGTTGTCTGTCTGTCTGGCTTACTTACTTGCTCCAATTGCTCTCTCTTCGCAGTATATATGTGTGTCGTCAGACCTCTAGCCTATCTATCTCTATATCTCTTCAATTGCCGAGGTTTTTTGTGTGTCTGTGTGTATCTGGTATATCGGGTGGGTATATGGGTGTGGTGTGTGTTGGATGGGGTGGGTGTTGGGAGGTGAGGCCGACACACCTGAAGGCGATGCGTAGTCGCGGGCTGGATGTCGATATCATAGCAAGGTTGGAGGGAAGAATGATCCGGGAGGCGACGGGGGAAGGAAGCAAAGCAACCACACGCAACCAGAGCAGAACCATCGACCGACCGACCTCTGTGTGTCGACTATCTGAGTGTGTGCCCACGTCTCTGGCTGGCTGCCTGGCTGGCTGGCTGCCTACGTGTGTGTGTGTGTGTGTGTGCGGACAGAAGCATGATGCGGACGGAGAGAGGCTGGCTCTATTCTCTACCTATCTCTCTATCTATACGTAATACATACATACATAACCGTCTGGCCCGCCTTTGCTTTTCGTCTTTTTGTACTGTCCGGCGCACAATAAATACCACACACAACACAACACAACACACCATTACACAACACACACCACCGAAAGACACAGGCAGCGCGACCGATATCCAAACACACACAGCGAGAGCGGCTGGCTGGCTGGGTGGAAGTATGTATACATGCCATCCATCATACGTACACACACATACATACGTACATTCATACACACGTACATACAGATGCTCAATCGTGAGGGAGGGGAGGGGGCGGGTCGGGTCGGGAGGCAGTCTATATGCAACGCATGGACACCTCACCTCTGGCGGCAGGCATGGCACTACACTACCCACCCGTGGCCATGCCATGGCATGCCATGCCTGCATCCACGGTGGACAGACGCATGGATCGGTGGACCGATGCACGGATGGACACACTAACGATCAGACAGACCAGACCATTATTGAAGTGAAGCATCGGACGGACGGTCGGCGTAGCATCACTGTCTGCCCTCTGATGGCAATCTGGCGACTAACCTGACACACAAGAGACAGACAGACACAGACAGCTGCACATGGTGGGGTAGTGGGTGAGGTGACCGGTTGCTTGAAGGGGGCGAGGCAGGAAGGCATGAGCGGTCTGTAGTTTGTTTCATAACCTGGTGACCTGGCGTCGGCCTAACCTATGCGACTGGTACGTAGACGAGCGAGCTTCTTACCGTGTTTTTGTCTGGCCGGCCGGCGTGTCTATCTGATCGGGTGGCCAGGCCATGCGACTTACGTACCCTCAGAGACAGAGACCGATCTCAATTGCCATGCGCGATCCGATGTTTGCCTTGCTCACCCTCATGGTTGTCGGTACACGTAGAGCAACGTGTGTGTGGCAGCCGTGTGGGTGAAGGGCGCTGCACACACGGATAGCGCGGTGCTGGGTGGTGGATGGATGGAAGGATAGGCAGAGCCACAAACAACTTTCTCGCGTCGCTCACTCGTTCGGGGGGAGGGGGAGAGGGCGGTCGGTGTCGATACTTCACTCGTCTCTTCGTCGTGTCTCATAACAGGGATGTGGTTGGGGGCTGCCTGTGATGATGGATGGCTGGATGGCGGCGTGTTGGCTGACTGAGCGAGGCTTTCAAGCGATGGATGCTGCTGCTGCGGCTGCTCCGGCTGGCTGGCTGGCTGGCTGCAGATGGATGCATCGCGATTGCAACGGTTGGTTGCAACTGTTGCGACACTGCGAGCGGCTGACTGAGGGCAGACAGACATGACATGACATGGCATGGCATGGCGAGGGAGACTGGTTAGGTGTTTTTTCAACACTCAGCTTTTGCAGACAGACGTCACCTCCGCCCAGCTCACTGACATGCTACACACACACACACATTGCATACGATTGATGCGCTAGCTATGGCGTGCATGGCCTAGGCCGTCCCCCCGTCACACGGGCACATGACATGCCGATGGAGACCGATGGCTATATGGCTGGCTGGCTTGTAAGGGCGTATTCTCTCTAGGTCATGTCTGGCTTCAGTGGTGGTGTAAAGGTGTGCGGGGGTCTTGTCTTGTGCGGTGTGGTGTGGGGCCGGCCTGCTTTCCTCCTCGATGCACTGACGAGGGAGTCGCCGGCCCTCCTGTATGTGTGTGTGTGCCTTCATGCCTTCATGTCCACCTGTGCCTGCATGTCAATGTCAATGTGTGTGCGATGCCTGCGTACCTACGTTACACACGCATACACACACAAACGGCCTGGCCTGCTGCCTCCCTCCCTCCCCATCTCCCCTCTGTGTGGGTGTGGGTGTGGGGGTGGGGGGGGAATCGGTTGCTGCCTCCACCATGTGGTGTGTGCCTCTCTGTCGGTGTGCCTTTTTGCCTCGTGGTGGTCTGTCCTCTCGTACTTTGGTGTGTGTGTTGTGGTCTGTCTCTCTTGTGTGTCTTACTTATTGTCTGTCTGACAGAGACAGTTGCGAGGAAACAGAACAGAATGCTCGTGCCTTCTTCGCCCTTAGGACGGTCCTTATCACACACACACACGTAAGTCACGCTATCCATCCATCCATCCATTCATCGAATTACATGATGCCTGCCTGCCTACCTGCCTGCCTGCCACACGTAGACACCTTCCCTATCCATTCATTCCACCCCTGTACCTGTATCCACACATGCATACGCACACACACACTCGAGCGCACAGCCCAGCCTGTGTGACCTGACTGACCCGAGAGCCACTCTTTCTGCCTTGCTCTCTGCCCTGCCGTACCTACGTGCCTGTATACACACGGCCAGTAAGTGAGCCTGCTACCGTACTCATTTCCCATCCATCCATCCATCCACTGACTGCCTACCACTCACTCAGTACTCAACTCGTTGCACTGCACAAGGCAGCAGCCTGTTGTCTCGCATGGCGGGGGGTCGGGCGGGTCGGTGAGTCAGTCAGGGAGAGGAGGTGCATGGGGGTGGATACACAGGCGGTGTGGGTAGGTAAGGTACATGGGAGGGACTAATCGCTCGTACCAACCATTGATTCATTGCATCCATGTCTTATGTTGCTGCTGGCGGTGTGGTGGTGTGGTGGTGGTGTGGTGGCGTGGCCCCCTATTCCCCTCTCTCTCGTCAGTCAGGGTTGCTGCTGGTCGGTCGCTTGCTGTCTTGTGGTGGTCGGTGCGTCCTGCCTCCTTCCCTCGTTCCCTCCCTCCCTCGCTCCGTGCTCCTTGCTTCTTTCGTACGTACGTGCGAGCGTGTGTTGATGCGACACACCCGGTCGACTACACTGCATGCCGTGGGATGGATGGACGAATGGTGCGTGATAGCGCGATGGTGGACAGAACAAAGGAAAGCGTATTGCTTTCAGAGCTAGCCCGACGAACCGACATTCTTAATTCCCCCGGTGGCTGCTTGGCTTGCATGATGCTCATATCTGACGTCTTTGTGCCGATATCATTATGTCGGTCAATCGAGATGTGACGTGTGGAACCGCCAAACCCACGAGCCTTGAGCCTTCACACGTACGCTGGATGTCTGTACCTACCCACAACTGACTTCCCGCCTTTATCTAGTCCACACCAGGCCACGATATATGCACACACAGCACCGGTGTCAGATCACACCCACCCATCCCAGATGCATCTGTGTGGTGCATCAGGGTCGGCGTGGTGTGGGGGTCTGTCAGGAGACCTCAACATCCGCCTGTGCGAGATCACATACATCAAGAAACGATCAGTCTCGTTTCTTAATGTAGTTGATCTCGCACAGCCGGATGTTCAGGTCTCTCGCCAACTCCAGCGCCTGGGTGTACCGCACCTATAGCCACACACACACACGCACACACACACACATCGTTGCACGCGATTCCCCCGCTGCAATTTAACACGCACACACAGGCGTACATTTGTGAGCATCTTGGCCTTGTTGTCGAGCAGCTGGCGGCCCAGGTCTCTGTTGGAGTGTGCGGACGCCGCGGACCTCGGCGTGCGATACTGGCACCTCTGGCGACGGCCGCCCAGCTCGTCAGGCACGCCATCCCGGTCCTTGCACAGCACCAACCACCCCAGCCGCACCAATTGCACCACCTACCCACCCCCACACACACCGATGCCATGTCATGTGTGCTGGGGGCGAAGGGAGGGAGGGAGGGAGGGAGGGAAGGGTGGTTGCTTGTGTGTGTGGGTGGGTGGGTACGTGTTGGTGCAGGGTCATGTGTCTCTCCAGGTTGTCTTTCTTGTCCAACACGCCGGTGCGGATGGCCTCGGCGATGGCCAGCAGACGGGGCACATCAAACAGCTGGGGGGCCCTGGTATACAAATGCTCCTGAACACACCCACACGCGGGAATACACGAAGACACACACACATCCCTCCTCTCCGTCCCTCCCTCCCTCCCTCTCTGTGAGTGTGCTGAGGTACCTGTGTGTCCATTTCGTCCATGAGTTGTTTCTGCGCCTTAATCTGCCTGCGATGCTTTTGGTTTTGCTCTCTGCCGCGCGATGTGCCGGCAGAGTCGGGCCGCATCAGCCGCCAGTCGTTGGTGGGCGTGTTGTAGCCCGCCACAAAGCTGCTCACCAGCAGCAGCTTGCTCGCAACAGGCAACAGGGACCACTCTTGACCCACACACACACACACCGACGGAGAGAGGGACAGAGGGGGGGCGGGTCAATCCGGTGCCGTTATGTGTCCTACATCCACTTGTTCGTTCCCTTGCCTACTTTTGAGTGTGATGCTGCTGGTGGTGTGTGGTGTGTCGGTGGTCAGGTGTGCGAGTGCTGCGGGAGGGTGGCTGCGGAAATAGGCGTCGGGCATGTGCAGATGGTACCGGATCCTGACAGACATCCATCCATCGATGGCCAGAGGGATCCACCCACAACCACGACACGTGTGTATGCTATGCTGTGGGCGGTGTGGGTGGGTTATTGGCTGGCTCCGAGTTCTCCATTCTCACTCACTTGGCCAGGTCGTCTCTGAGCTGTTTGGTCATGGCCACAGTCGACACACCTGCGTCGCTCACGCGCTCTGTCCAACACAACCAACGAACAGACAGACAGACAGGGAGAGAACCAACCACAGACAGACAACAGAACGTCATCCATGTCATGTGGGTGTTGGGTCGTTTGTTTGTTGTGTGTGCGTGTACTGTCTATGAGGAATTTGGCAATGTATCTCGGCCACAGGATCCTGAACATCGGCACATTACATTGACACAGACAGGGTGGTGGGTGTGGGTGTGGGTGAGTTGTTTCTGCAGTTAGTTGCACAGCCACGCATCGCATCGCACCGACCTGGCAATGTCCTGCATCTGTTTGAAGTCCGATCCCATGCTGCTGCTCTCCACGTTCAGCACCACATCGATGAACCGATTCCACCAACGCAACAACACACCTGACGATAGACAAATATGGATCAACCACCGCCTGCATGGCTCCATCTCTCGCCGCAGCTCACCTCTGTGTGTGTGCAGCCATTGGCCGATATCATTGGCGCTGGCACTGGAAGCAGCGGCAGCAGCAGCGCCGTGCGTCTCAGCGTCCATCATGTCTACGTCCACCTTGTCCCCGCCATCATCTATCTCCATGTCCACCACCACCTCTGCACTTGCATCTACACCGCCCCCCTCCCGCTGCTGCTGCTGCTGTTGCAACCCCCAGTACCCAGACTGCCGGATGGCCGCCACGCCGATGCGGTCATAGCTGCTCCGCAGTATGCTACGGTACTCATCTACACATACACACATCCACACGCAAATCGAGAGAGAGAGGGAAAGGAAGATCTTCTCGTGTGTGTCCGGGTGGCTGGCTGACCGGTAGTATAGGGGGTGAACTCGACGAGAGGCATGGGATGGTCGCCCTCCATCTCTCTGGGGACGTCGAGAGGCCGCTTGGACACAAACACGGCGACGCACTTGGGGCTGTGGTAGAGGCGGTGCTGCTGCCTCAGGGTCCACCACAGCTGGTAGTCATGCGACGGGAGCACATGGGCACCGTCAAACACCTACACACACACACACACACACACACAATGGGTGTGTGTGCATGGTGGATGGCAAGAGGTGGTCCCCCCACAGTACCAGGATGGCCCGCTTGGCTTTCTCTGCGTAGAGCGAGCTCAGGAGGCTGCTGAACGTCTTGGGAAACTTGCGATGGTGCGTCGATGCCGATGTGACTGCACACACAGACACCACACGCGCAAGCACAGCCATACCCACCCAACCAATGCCATGCCCGCCGCCCTCTTTTGTGTACTTTTCCTTTTGCGCATGGGGTTGTTTCTGCTCAGGTACCGCTGCAGCCCCGTCAGGAGCTTGAGCCTGGTGGCCTTGGGGCTGTCGCCGCACCGCCCCAAGTCCACGTACACGACTGGCCATGGCGCGAGGTTGCGGAGGAGCGCCCGCACGTGGGAGCTCTTGCCGCTACCCGAGGCACCCACTACTTGGAAACACCCACTCTGCAGCACGAATGACAGACAATGACAGACACGCACAAAAACACAGAGAGAGCATGGCACACGAGTGCGGCAAGTGGTCCGTGTGCATGGGGTTGCATGGGTGGGTGGGTGGGTGGGTGGGCGAATGTATGTGTGTTTGGTGTCTGTCCGCACGTTGGTCTCGATGAGATGGCATATCTTTCCCAACCGCTCGCCGCGCACTGATGGATGTCATCATCCACAATACACACCACACACCACAATGCAATGCAATGCAACGAAGATGTTTCTGGCTGTGTCTCCGTACCGAATCCCATCTGGATGACGGTCTTGCAGAAGGCCCTGCACATCCGGTCAGTCTCGAAGCACTCCCGGACCTCGCCATACACCTGCTCGAAGGCCCCGTCGTCCACCACATTCATACTACCGCCGTGATCTTGCTGCCCGGTCGCTGCCTGCATCTCGTGCTCGTCATGGCCACTGTGGTCTCTCGTTGATGGCGACACGGATGCTCGCCGGCCTCGACGCCCTGATGAGGAAGAGCGGGTTTTCCTCTGCTTGGCCGGACGCTCCATGACTGGAGACTACCACAAACGATAGAAGGGCTGCCCGGGCGGGGTCACTAGGCTAATGCGCTAAGAAATTCCTCGGACGAGTGTCCCTCATCAGCGGCAAAGGCAAGCTTGCACCAGAACCCTAAACCCTGAACCCTGAGCTTCGGAAAGGTACTGTAGTGGACCATGGCTGAAGAGAAGGACTGGTTTCCGCCAGATCCGTATGCTGCTGCCGACAGGTACCCCGCACAGCGCCTTCCTTCGTTGACTTCAGGTACTCCTCTGTGGCTTTCGTGTGGTGTGGTTTGTCGTGCAGATCTACCAGCGCGGACTCGGAGCAGCAGCAACAGCAACAGCAACCGCCGTGGCGACGCAATGCCAAGTTGAACGCCCAGTCCCCTCCCTTCCACCCTCTCACCAACAACATTACAGCAGTGACCAGGAGGTCTCTGTCCCTGAGTGGGACTGACTGGTCGGACACGGCGCGAGAGAGAGCCCTCGCCGCCAACTGTCGGGAGCTCATCCACCGGGTCACCAAGACGACCCTCACACCATCACTGACAGACCCCGCGGCACTGGAGATTGCCGGCAGCTCTGAGCGGAATGTCGAGAGGGCGGTGGAGCTCGTCCACACACTTGCTGCCGGCGAGCCGACGAGGATCGCTCTGGATGCGGCTGCCAGGCCGTCAGCCGAGATGTGTGACGAGCTTTGCAAGCAGTTCAGATGCGTGCTCTTTGACCCCAAGACGGCAGACGGCTCCCCGCCATGGCTGGAGGCATTCGGCCCGACGGAAGCATTGCAGGAGGTGGCGAAGCGCCTGGGGGGCACCGTCCAACCTCAACCTCAATCTGCCCCCTCCCCCTCGCAGTCACCCGAGCAAGAGATGCCACCTCTGGAGAATGGCTTTGGCGGCGAGGTGACACCTGGGATGGGCCTGCCCTCGCCGCCCCTCCTCATGAGAACCGCCAGGGCGCTGCTTGGAGCACTCTCGTCGGCCGTCATGCCTTCGAGGACGGCTGAGCGATTGCCACCAGCTGTGGATGACGTCGTGATGGGAGAGGAGGAAGCAAATGGGGAGCAGCCTCGTGGCTCGAGTGAAGACAACAATGGTGCAGCTGGTCAGCCGGCTGGTGAGCCGACGGAGCCACACGAGAGGGCAGAGAGTGAGCAAGGGGATGCTGCGCCGATGGAGATGACGGCAGCGGCGCGAGAGCCGCCTGCCGATGGAGAGCCGCAACATCCACCAGAGGAGAGGGCGGCGAGTGAGCAGGCGGGTGATGTGCCAATGAATGCGACACAGGTGCAGATGAGTGAGGACAAACACCCATCCCATCTGTCTGTGTGACTGTCTGGTGTGTCTGTTTTGTTGTGTTCAGGAGGAGGGTAGGGAGGAGGAGAGTGAGCAGCAGGTCGCTTCGTTGATGGCTCAGCTGCTGCCCCTCGTGCCCCTCCCCTGCCAGGCCCCGCTCGCCCAAGTCGAGGCAGAGTCCGTGGGGGCGAGAATTGGCGCCTTCTTCCGAGACCCATCTGCTGCTGCTGCTGCCGCTGATGCTGCTGAGGCTGAGAAAACCGACAGCGCCTGTCCCGACGACCAGGTAGGTGGATGCACCTCACCTACACAGGTGCTTGGTGTCTTGATGACATGTCGATTCATCCATCCATCCATCTGATTTGTGTATGTCAGGTGGTGCCCCCTGTGCGTGAGGGTGGCAAGGATGTCGTCATGGCGACAGAAGCTGACGCACAGCAGCATCAGCAGCAGCAGCAGGAGAAGGAGGAGGAGGAGGAGGGAACACCAGACAGTCAGGTGCGATAGCCGCTGGGGAGGGAGGGAGTCACCGCTGCTGTGGCCACACTTGTCGTCTTTCTATGCGTGTCCATCATCACACAGGCTGGTGGTGGTGGTGGTGAAGATGAGTCCATGCAGCCGCACGACACAGTCACAGACTATGACCAGCACGCAGCAGCGCCCCCACAGGTGCGCTTGGCGATCAGACGAATCACTCACTCCACGTTGCACCATCCCTCCCTCCCTCCCTCCCTGTGTGCCTCTGTGTCGCGTGTGCGCGAACATCAGGCTGTCCATGAGGCGGCGGCTGATGAGAGCCGCGAGAAGGCCATCCACACCCACACCCACTCCCACACCCATCAGCAGCGACGCACCGTGACCAGCAGCGGTCCGGTGGGTTATGTGGTGTTTGTGGGTCTGCATTACCACAGCAAGGAGATCTACCTGTGCGCACTCGAGCCACACACCGGTGGTGCTCCTGCTGAGGGTGATGATTCCCACGACGACAACACAGAGGTAACAATGAATAAGGGACCAGAGGAGACAGACAGACAGACAGACCGTCATTAGTCTGACATACTCTCTCTTTCTCTCTGTCTGTCATCCAGGCGGCCAACCTGCCCACCTACATCATCCGGAAGTGCTGCGGGTCGACCTTCTTCGCCCTTCCCCGAGGCGGCCGCAACAAGGCCCCCCACCCCGCCGTGACCCCCACGCCCACCGACCTCATCGTCAACAACGACGAGATCTTCATCAGCCTCCCGTTCACACAGGCCACACGCTACCCAGAGATCCCCTCATTCAAGCCCCTGCTACCGGGGCAGCCCTTCAAGGCAGACACCCTCTCAGCGTCGCTCGAGACCGGCACAACTCGCGACGGCAGGGTCATCGATCTGCGTTTCCAAGCCAAGATGCTGTACGTCCAGCAGCTGGTCGACACGCCCATCGCCCCACTGGCCCTCGCCGCTTTCGAGCCGGACCTCCCGACGTGGCCGATTGAGCAGCGCCTCTGTCGCGCTGAGAGGCAGGCGAGATGGATCGTGTTGAAGGACACGTGTGCTGACGGGTTGGACATCATGCCGAGCAGGGAGGGGCGGGTGGTGCAGCTGCGGTGGGTGGAGGAGGGCGGTGGGGAGGGCGCCATTTGGTGTCTGGTGCAGCACAGGGAGGGGGCCAGAAGCGAGATCAGAAAGATATCGGCTGACGTGCTCGAGAGCTTCAGGGTTGGCGAGGGGGGGCTTGACGTCATTCACACGGTCGACGCGCCGGCAACGAGCTTCGCTGTCTACTTCCACCAGGTGACGAGCAGAGCACCCTTACCTACCACCGCACACAACACAAGCATCCTTCTCTCTCTGTCTCTGTGTGCAGCACGCCAGTCGCCGGTACCTCTACTACCGCACTCGCCAGCCCTGCTCAACTGACGAGCAGATAATTCGCTATGAGTGGCACCAGCCCGACGGCACTTGGCACAAAAGGGATTGCCAAGCAACCCTGCCCACTGGCGTCCCACCATCGACCCCGATCGGCGGCATGCAAGTGGTGGTGGATGGTGCGAGTGCACGTGACGCCCCGCATCTCATTGTGTTGACGCATGGCGACACGGGCAACGCCATCAGGGTGTACACGATCGACCTGCACCTTCACCAGGAGATCACTCTGCATGAACGCGCCAAGCCTTTCGGCCTAGGGTGAGAGGGACATCGACCACCAGCCACGAAGGAGAAGAAGAGAAGAATGTGTGTGTGTATGTGTGTGTGTGTGTGCGTGTGTGTGTGTTTCAGGTTCCATGGCCGTCGTGACGAGCCCATGTCGCGTCAGGAGCTGCTTCAGTGCGCCGTCGCCACTTCCCACGTTGGCAAGAAGCTCTCCACCATCCTCCACCCCGACTACCAACAGCCACACGTCGTGCCATCCCCACCCGCGCCGGCCACCGACCATCACCACAAGAAACATCGACTAGAGCCGCAACCCCCACCGCCACCCGCCCCACTCGAGCCAGCCCCACCACCACCACCACCAGCATCGGCCAAGGAGGCCTCTCCCCCTCCCCCTCCCCCTCCCCCCGTGACAGTCAAGCAGGAGGAGCATGCAGATGCCGAGGGTGCTGATGTGGAGGCCAAGGTGGAGTCTCCACCACCACCGGCTGTCAGGAAAAGGAAAGCGGCGAGTGGGGGGCGGGTGCCGCGCAGCAAAAGAGGCAAGACCGGCAGCAGCAAGAGGCCGCGCACCGACGGGGCCGGTGGGCAGCAGAGGCGTCACGCCAAGAGGGAGAGGCACAGCATCCAACACCCCCAGCAGCATCACCAGCAGCACCAGCAACAGGAGCGGCAGCAGAGAAGGGCGGCCGATGATGTGGTCGTGAACAAGGAGGAAGATGACGACGACATGAATGCGCTGGGGTACGATGAGATCGGCTGTGCCGACCTGCGGGCCCTGGTGGAGCGCCATCCGTGCGAGCATGTGAGAGCCCTCGGCAACGAGCTGTTCCAGGTATGTATGCGAGAGCAGAGAGGCGGGGCAAAGGAGAGCATGTCCGCCGTCACTGTGTGTGTTGTGTGTCAACTGCAGCACGGCTACTCCCTCTCCTCCCTGGTCCATCAGCTCACGGACATGGCGGCACTCACCGCTTGGCGCGGCAAGACCCACCACCCGCAACAGCAGCACCAGGCCGATGGCCCACCACCCCCATCCCCTTCGTGTCTGTTCGGCCCGGTGCTGCAGCTGTTCTTGTACCCCTACACAGCAGCATTCGCCGACCAGCCCGTGACTATGATGCCACTGGCCGATGGCGAGGAGGGGCTCCCCCCTGGCCGTGGTCTGCGCGGCATGACGTGTGCCGAGGTGTGCGCGTTGGTCGAGGGCATGCACGACATCATGGAGGGAGCCGAAGACGCCATGGCCGAAGCCATAAAAGAGGTACGTGCGTACGCAGCCACACTCCCACACAAAACAAGCGTCCATGCGTATATGATATGGCTGTGGTTGCTATGCTGTGCAGGAGTGTGTGTCTGGCCGTGCCTTCGAGTGTCTGGTTCATCTGGCGGGCGCGCCCCCGAGTGCACAAGAGTGGGTGAAGTGTGTGGCGCGTCGGTGGCGGCTGGGTCGGCTGCTGCTGTCCGACGAGTCGCGGCGGGACATCGTCATGTACCTGTGCGACCAGGGCATCGAGTCGTCTTCGCCCTTCTCCTCTGCTCTGACCTAGCTGAGAGAGACCTGCACTGCATGCCATGATTGATGAGATGGGGACTGCATATGATGAGTGGTGGTTGATGAGTGAATTCGCCAGTCTATCATTTTCAGGGTGTTTTGTGTGATTGGTTATATATATCATCGGTGCAATCACACGTACATGCGTCCGAACGTCTGTCTGTCCAGCGATGAGTCCACTCGAACGAATGGCCACACACACACAGTAGAGAAAGAGAGAGAGAGGGAGAATGGCCAGGCGGACTCACCTAACAATATCTCTGTCTATCTTGTCTGTTGTCGGTCGCGTCTCGCCAAGACATCGGCACCCACACCCACTTACCCACCCACCCACACACATCCATCTGTGGCCAGTCCACACACGGACGTCTGGGAGACACACTGAGAAGGAGCAGACACTTGTGTCGCAGTGAGGCATCCGTCCGTGTGTGTGCATTTGTGTGGTTGAGCACCGACCATCCATCCATCCATCCCTTTGTCCATCCCTTTGTCCATCTTTGTCTTTCTGTCGGCCGCCGTGGCCGTCTCCCGTCACATGGCACAGCACAGCACACGGGCAGCTGAAGAGCCAGACAGTGTGTCGCCAGAGATCCACGCCCATCAACACATGAATGAGACAACACTGGAACACTTAGTTGAGGAAGGAGACGGTTAACAAGACGACAAGTGAGGACAATTAAGGAGGGAGGCAAAGGACAAGGAGGCCTGTCTCTTCTTGAAGTAGTGGGATTAGGGGAGGAAGGAAGCATTGAGGAGCAATTGAGGAGATGAGGACAGCAACAGTCAGTCCATCCGAGCGGGCGAATTCACACACACCACAGCAAAGGACACACTGAGAGAGAGGGAGTGAGAGAGCGGCCAGGCAGCTAGGCAGCCTGAACGACCCGCTGTCTGTCTGTCTATCATTATCTCTTTCGGTCGCGTCTCGCCAAACCCTCAGACACCCACACATCCCCGGCAGGCACTTGTGTGTTGCAGTACAGCGAGGAAGACCTGTCGGCTATGTGTGTGAATCGTGTTCGTTCGAGATACCCACCCAAGCAATCAATCCATATCTTTCTGTGAGTGAAGCGTAGAGTATGAGAAAGGGAGAATGGCCAGGCAGGCACTGCCACACACTGTCTGTCTGTCGGTCTGCCTGCCTGCCTCTGTGTCTATCATTATCCGTGTCGGTCGCGTCGCGCAATGTGTAGACACCCACACCCACACACACATCCACACGAGAGAAAAGGATCATGGCGCTTGTGTCCTGATGAGGCGCGTGTGTGTGTGGGGTGAGAGGTCATCCAGCCATCCAGATATGTGTCCTTATCTCTCTGTCTGTGGCCTCACCATCTCCCATCGCACACCACACCACACCACACCACACACACCACACCACACCACAAACAGACAGACGGCCACACGTCAGGAGGGCGACAAAAAATACGCAGCCAAGGCAGAAAAGTGGGCCGGGCCAATCAACACATGAATGAATGAGAACACGAGGACGGTTAGGGAGGGAGATGATCAGGAAGCCAACTAAGGAGGAGACGAAAGACAAGGACGCTTGTCTGCTGTTGCAGCCAGGAAGAAAATTATATAAGGAGACGATGAGCTAAGGAGACGATTATGGAACGAGAGAGAATGTTGAGCAAGCAGAAGGCTTTGCTATCAAAATCTGCCCGCCCCGCCCCGCCTGCCCAAACACATACATGTACGGTGTGTGATATGGGGCACGGCACAACCGCCAAGAGCAAAGAGAGACACACACACAGATAGATAGGATACATGCCCGTCGAAACTCAATCCCTCCCTCTCCATCCAAACACAATGCCCGTCCGTATCCCATCCTGTGTGTGTGGCGAGTGAGTGAAGCGCATGTGGTGCACGTGTCTCCTCCCCCTCGTGTCGTGTGTGAGCTACGTCACCATATGTACATGGATCTCTCCAGATCGATTATTGAGATAAACAGACGCGCAGCACCGGCAGCACACCATTGCGGCCGCAGCCTGGCGAACAGATGCCTGCAGACAGCCAAATGGACAGAAAAGAATGAGCACTCATACATTCATGTCTTCTCCCTCCCCTCTCCCACTACGTGTGATTCCTTTGCCCTCACCCACCGTGCAGATGGCTGGATTAGTTGTCGATCGAGATGAAGAACCACTTAAGGCGGTCGATGAGACCCTCGACGGTGGACACCACGCAGTCCCCGATGTCCTCGACCAGCTCGCACACCGCCGCACACAAGTCGCAGCAGTCGCAGTCGCCGTAGTTGGCCTGCTGGTGGTGGTGGTGAGAGAAACCTAATGGACAACACACACATAAACCACATTGACACGGACCCCTGAATGTTCGTCCATTTGGTGTTTGTGTACCTGACACGTGGCGGGCGGCAGCACATGCAGCCGGCATGATGGGGCACGGCGCCTCCGGGCGATATGCCACCACATGTGGCTGGTATGAGTACACAGCCCCTCCCAAACCCAACACACCCCTCCCCA